GCCCAAGCCCTAGCCGCTCATCCCTTCGGCCGTTGCTGCCCCGCCGCGCCACCGCCGATCACCGCCGGTTTTCTCCTCTCTTCTCCTTCATTTACTTGGTGTTTATCTAACTCGTTTACATCTAGTGCTGTAGTTCGAGTGGGTCGAAAATACGAGGTGAAACCTAATTGGAGAGGAGCTGCTGCCCCGACGAATCCACGCACCACCGCTGCACCGCCGCACGCGCCGCTACCCAGCTCACGCGCCGCCGCTGCTGCTGCCACTCACCGCCGTTCGTCGCTTGCTGGATCAGCTTGTTCCAGCCGTGAGTTGCAGCCCCGAGGATTGGTAATTTGCAGCTTGTACGTGATTGGTTCTAGGTTTCGATTCGTCGAAATCTCACGCTACAAGAGGTAAATAAATCGAAACTTTCGTAAATTAATTCGAGCATGTTCGTATGAATTGTAATTTATGATTATGAGTAATATGTGATTACGTGTTTCGATTTTATTGAATGATGAACAAGCATGTTTCGTAATTTTCGGTTTTACGTGTTTTTCAATTAAATCGATAATTACCATATGTATGGCGGAAGCGTTAAGGTACGTTGACTATGTGATTAGTTTATGCATGTAATCGAAACTAGTTCGATCTAAAATTTTTAATTGCGCTGCGTATACATGCACGATCCCCAACAAATTGGGGGATCAATAAACACATAGAGGGAAGATAAAGTCCTAGGCTCATTTACTTTGATAAACTTCGTGTTTAGTTATTTTTCTTTCTATTTAATTTGCGTTTAATATTTTAGTTTATTTTAGTTAATCTTCTCCAGATTCGACTGTGTAGGGTGGACATAAACATAATTGTGATGATTTAGCTATTAGAATTAGATAGTTGAATATTCCTCGTTGATCGATACTCGGACTTCTAGTCCACTATATTACTTCTAGTCAGACTCCTGGCACCAGAGTGAATGCCAGAACAGCCCTAACGCATCTCTCTCATTGCATATTCCGCATCCTCCTGAGACACTTTAAGTGGTCCGAAATAAACGACCGCTTGTATAGCTCTCCATCAATCACTAGGAAGTAGCGAGCTCGTGTAGTAATTCTCTCTTCTTCTTTCTTGGATGATGCTTTTACACCCCATATATGTGCCAATAATGGCTCCCGCCAATCTCCTCCCACATCAATCCTCGAAACTTTGGCTATCCTCGTCTCACACCCCGGCTCGACCCTCTAAGGATATTTGTCGCTCTCCTGTCCCCACTGCCGAACTAGCCATTTTGGCTAAAAAATCTGCCCTCTGATTTTCCTCCCGAGGAATTTGAGTTATCTCGCACCAGTCAAACTGAGTAATAAGCTCGGCTACCTGAGATACATACCGACTCATACGCTATTCCTTGACATCAAATGTCCCCTTAATTTGTTGAACCACTAACTGAGAATCAGAAAACACCTTAACGAACCTCGCTCCATGATTCTGAGCGACTTTAAGCCCTTCTTTAATGGCCTCGTATTCTGCCTCGTTATTGGATACTAGGAAACCCAACCTAACCGCATACTCTAACACCTTGCCCTTAGCGTTAGTAAGAAGAATTCCTACGTTGCTACCCCCTACGGTGGCTGAGCCATCCACATGAACACTCCAAACCTCCTTCTCAACTTCTTCTCCCACCTGAGTGGCTTCTCGGATGAAATATGCCTACACCTACCCTTTAATGGAGATGCGAGGTTGAAATTCCACTTCATACTGCCCTAACTCCACGGCCCATTTGACCATTCTCCCCGAAACCTCCGGGTTACTCCACGGCACTATAACTGTGTGTGATAAGAAGTATGCCTTCAATTCAATTTCCGGGCTGACATCGTAACTGCATATGCGACCTTATCGATTCCAGTATATCTCTGTTCCGCGCCTTGCAAGACTTTGCTAACGAAGTAGACTCGAAACTGCTTATGTTGTTTTTCTCGTACTAACACCGAGCAAACAACCCCCTGCCCCGCTACGATATATAGGAAAAGGGACTCGTGTTTTACTGGCTTAGCTAGTAAAGGAACTTGGGCGAGATACACCTTCAATTGATCGAATGCGAGCTCACAATCCGGAGTCCTTGCGAATGACTTGTTCTTTTTCAAAACCTCAAAGAATGGCAAGCTCCTAGCTGCGGATCCCGAGATAAACCGTCCTAATGCCGCCATCCTTCCTCTCAAAATTTGCACCTCCGTAAGCGTTCGTGGTCGCTTCATATCCAGTACTGCTTGTACCTTTTCTCGATTTACTTCGATTCCCCTTTCTGTAAACATGTACCCTAAAACCTCTCCGGCTCATACCCCGAAAGAACACTTTGCGGGGTTAAGCTTCATCCCGTATTGCCGTAATCTGGCGAATGTTTCCTTCAAGTCGTTGATGTGAGTCCTTTCATCTTTACCTTTAACGAGCATATCATCGACATATACTTCCATATTTCGCCCCAACTGACTGCGAAACATCGCATCCACAAGCCTCTGATACGTCGCCCATGCATTCTTTAAACCAAATGGCATTACAACATAACAATATGTACCCACTGCAGTGATGAAGCTGACCGGCTTGGAGCATAATTTGATGATATTCCTATGAGGCGTTCATGATACTCAATAACTCGCATCCAGCGACGTAGTCCACCAACTGGCAACTGGTCAATCCTCGGCAAGGGATAATGATCCTTCGGTTAGGCTTTGTTAATATCACGGAAATCAATACACATCCGCCATATTCCTTCCGCTTTCTTAACTAACACAGCATTAGATAAACAGTTAGGGAACTGGATCTCTTTAACATGCCCTGCTTTCAAAACCATGTCTACCTCAGCCGCCACTCTAGCATCTTTATCCGCTCCAAAGTGTCGCCTTTTTGCTTCACTGGACGAGCATCAGGTCGGATATTCAGCCGGTGTTGGGCTAATCTCGAATCAATGCCTTTTAAATCTTCCGGACTCCATGAGAAGACATCACAATTCTCTCTTAAAAATTCGATTAACTCTCAGGAGAGCTCCTCCTCCATCTCGTTGCCAATTCGCATAGTGTTGTACCCCGATTGATGCGGTTTTAACTCTATTGTCAATAACTCCTCCTTCTGCACTACCCTAGGCTTTTTATTATCTAGGTCGACTACAACCCGTATATCACCCAATGTATTCACCAATTCACCCCGCTTCATGCTTGCTTTCCACACACCATCTGCGTAACACCGCCTTGCATCCTCCGGATCTCCCCTGACCTCACCCACCTTTATGCCAACTGGGAACTTTAACTTTATGTGCACTGTGGACAGGATAGCCTCGAACTTATTTAAAGTCGATCGCCCCAGGATAACATTGTAGGTGGACGGGGTGTCCATTTCTAAGAAGCGCAACGTGTGGGTTTGGGTCAAGGGCTTCGTCCCTAAGGTGATCTGCAACGATACCTCGCCAATTGCTTCTTCAACCTCGCCCGAGAACCCATAATCGGGGTGCGTACTGGAGCAACCTTCAACTCTCCCAATTGCACCTGGCCTAAACAATCCTTGTATAGAATCACAGCCTGCTTATCATCATCACCGAAATAAATGGCTGGCGAACTTTCCTAGACATGATGTACTTGTTCTCCTTTAAAAGCCGAAATCCCCGCCGACCTGGAATACATCTTACGCGCTCTATGCGAATCTCCATCCGTAGGCCCTCCCATAATCATCTTAATGTGGTTTCTCAGACCCCCGGGGGATCTATGTCGCTGAGTAGGGGGATTCGGGACATGATCCTCGCGCCTCCTAACAAACTGTTATATTCTGTTCTCCCGGGCTAGCCTCTCTAGCTCATCTTTTAAGTGACTGCACTCATCGGTGTGATGGCCATATCGCTTATGATACCGACAATAACCTCCTTCATTGGGGCCCTTAGGGAGCGTCCTTTGCTATGTCATTGGCCAACGAAATCAGGTCCCCCTTCTACCGCCATTAATACTTGGGTGGACGTTTTGTTGAGAACGGCATACCTCGCATACCGAGGTTTTCGATACTCCTGGACCGGTGCCTCACGAGTGGGGATGTGTCTACGAGGTCCTAGCGGGTCCCTCCCTCGAGGGGAAACCTTCATCGGAACATGTTGAACGGGGATCACCGCTATTTCTTCTTCCTTAATCTTTCTCGCCTCCTCCATAGTGATATACTTCTCCGCCCGTTTCAAAAGCTCGTCATACGTCAATGGCTCTCATTTTGCAAGCGATTTGAACAGCTCCCCGTCCCTCAACCCCTGCATCAGGGCGTTTGTAAGCACATCTTGGGTGAGGTCTGGCACCTCTCTACTGGCACTCGTAAACCGTCGTACAAAAATCCTCATAAATTCCCGCTCTTCCTGTCGAACACTAAAGAGTGTGAGGACAGAATTCTTCTGTTTTTGAGAACTAGCGAAGTGATCCAACAGCATAGAGTTAAAAGTGTCAAAATCTCACACCGAGCCTTCCGGAAGTTGATCAAACCTGAGCCGCGTCTCGCAATGTGGTTGCGAACGCTCGACACATGATCCCGTCTGAGAACTGATATAGATACGATGTGTTCTGGAACCGGCTTACATGCTCCCATGGGTCAGTAGTTCCGTCGTATGCGAGATGTTCCAAAGCCTAAAATCTCATTGATAAATCATAAGCCATGATTTCCGTAGAAGACGGATTACCCTGCTGCTGCCTTTGGGGTGGGACAGGGGAACTTGCAGAGGGACCCGCCATTAACCTTGCCTTTGAAGTGGCTGTCATTGGGGCTGAATTGCAAGGTGGGCGTGCCTTAGACACTTTCCTGATAACTCGGTCCTCCTGCACACCTTGGTTAACTATCCTCACTACAACAAAATAGACTTTTCATAGCATTTTCTTATAGCGTTTTTTTACAAAATGCTGTTACTTCTTTATTGTATTTTTAATAGCCTAAAACAAGCGCTATAATATTATATATTTTAACGGGTATGACAAGTATAGAAACAAAACGCTATAATAACACTTTCAATTAATTTTTTTTTTTGAGAAAATAACGCATTCAATTATATTGGGCCCAAAATTTGTTTTGCCGACATCCTAAATATACATATAATACGTTTGGCTCATCTGGATTAGTTCACTCTGTAAAAACCCTATCTCTAGAAAGTAGTAACTCTTCGACGGTCCGGTACTGCAAATGACTTCAAGGGTTGCAGGCCGATTATATATTGTCTTTTGGAGAAATTTCCTAGCAATTCTATCTCAGCAACAACGGACGGTTATCTGATGAGCAATTTTACGGTTCTCTCTCTAATTTACTATTTTTTAGTGATTAACGGGAAAAATTTGTATGTTGTGTGTTTGTGTTCGTTCGTAGGAGAAGTATTTTAACTTTTATTAAATATAATTAAAGATTTGTATTGCAATTCTTTGAAATCTGGAGGAAAGAGGCAGCCTTCGATAGCTTTGGATTTGGTTTGTAAGTTTCTCATGCTTTTATGCCTATGTTAATTGCAATATTAAATACTTGTTGTGTTATGAATTCATTTTATCCCTAATGTAATGCTGATGTCTGTTTTGAATACATCCTATATAGCTTACATGCTAGAATTCAATTGGGGAAAGAAAAAAAAATTGGGGAAACAAAAAGAAAAGAACCGAATTGGTTTTTGAGGAAGAAAAAGGAAAGATTAAGCCTAACTTCAAAGGTGAAGGAACTTATGAACACCATTGAAACTCAATTATGGATTTTTATAATTGTTTGTAACTAGTGTCAAACTCATGATTTGGTTTAAGATTAATTAAATAAGTTGTTCACAATATCATTGCACCGGTATCGTTATAAGATTAAGCAAAGATGAATTGATTCTCCTGAATACTTCTTTCTACCACAAAAACTAATTCTGATTCATATTTTATTTTTATAGGTATTGTTACGGACATAAGATTTGCTCTGACGGTGGAAACGTCATCGAATAAAAGCTGCTAAAACCAGAATTGAAGTTAATGGATTTTCGCAACTCAGGTATATATATGTCCTGAATATCATTTACTCTTTCTTTACCCTGCTTTTTGCACTCTTTTATTTTGTTATTTTATTATTTTGTTACCAAAAGGAATATGAAAGCATTATGAGTAGTTGTAGACTTGTAGTTACAAGTTACAGTAGTTTGTGGATGTTTGTTTACTTCAATTGGTGTACACATGGTTATGACCGTATTAGTTTTTCTTTTTGTCTCTGTATGCATCTGTTGAAAGTTAAAACTCTTGGTTTACCCTTAATTATCATATATGTGCAATTATATGTAGAACAATAAGTAATATCAGGCCTTTAGTTTTTAAGTGAAACAGATGAACTTGAAGATACTAGTTGAGATGCATGAAATATACACAATATTCTGACTGTTGTTGGGGCCCTTGTGTTACTTTTATTTGGCCCTATCCCCTAATCAATTTAGAAATAATTTATGACTGTGTTAGTTATACTTGCACATTGTAATGAATCACACTTAAAAACATGATAAAATATAGTGTCATTTCATGGATAACTAGGAAAAATTGAGAATTTGCAGACAAAATTCTTGACATTTTCTTTCTTTCTTTTGGCAGATCATGTTGGATATTATACCGTGAAGCTGGTTGGACTTCTTTGAGTGCATATAGTTATTGTTACGTGAGATGTTATTGGTAAATAAATATATCGATTAATAAATTGAATATTGACATGGATTAGTGATTTATTTTAGAGTGCGTTTGGATGGAAGGATTTGGAGGAGGATTTGATTTGGGGAGTCATTTGAAATCCACACCAATTGCCCCAAAAAAAACTAAAAAGGAGCGGTGTGGATTTGAAATTAATCCTCAAATACCTCAATCCAAACAAGTCCAAGGGATTTGTCCCTCCATCCAAATGGACCCTTATATCTTTTTGTTGTAGTTTTGACGTACATTATATTAATTTTTCTTAACTTTTCTTGACAGAAAATATAGGAATAAATTGGAGGAATCGTGGAAGTGGAATTCTAACAGAAGTTTATTTTGGGTGCTGAAGTGTTAAATTAAACATGTCTCTCACTATTTGTTTTTGAAATAACTATCTAATTCAATGTTTCGGATGTTCTATGTATGAGGTAAAAGTTGTTGAATTACTAAACGATGTATTATTAATTACTCGTGAATTTTACAAAATAACATTGTGTATTTACTGTGGTGATATATTATAGCGTTCAGTAATAATATCATAGCGATAAATATATTATTTGCAAAGAATTAAAAAAATATTAACCACGACGTTTAATTGATGCGGTGAGGGTAAAAACTACTATGAATGATTTACCATAGCTCAAAGAAAATGTAATAATTGATGGAACAATAGCTCTAAATGATAAAGCATAGCGTTTAACAGTTGCCATAATAAAACTAATCATAGCGAAACAAAACAGCTATAAAAGAATGTACGACAGCGTGTAATAAACGCTAACATAGAATTTACAATAGCGCAAGGAAAACGCTATTGTAGGTTTTTATACCGTAGCGCTTCAAAAACGCTATTAAAAATCGGATATCTATTATAGCTCCGGCAGACATAGCGTTTGTAAAAACGCTATGATAACCTATGATAGCGTTTTTCAAGTGCTATGGATGACGTTTTATGTTGTAGTGCCTCTGAATATCCTCCACCGTAGGTGATAGAGGAGTCGTCGGTATCTCGACAAGAGGTGCCATTCGCACTGTGGGAGTAATTGGTATAGGAGGATCCTCCTGACAAGATGGCGACGATTCCACAGCTATGAAGCAAGCTTCCAGGTTTTCCTCTCCCGTCGCCATATATATCTGAAAATCCACACAAAGAAATAGGGTAACCAAATTAAAATAATGAAAAAAAAAAATAGTAAAACTCATGTCTATAACTCAATGTTCCCACAGATGGCGCCATTTGATGTGGCCATATTTGCCACACAAGATTACATTGGGCTTTTATATAAGTATAAGGGGTGTAAGGATTATTTAGAGAACCTTAATGGGCTAGAATTACCATACCTTGTCCTCGAGAATTGACCTTAAATAGGTATATATATATATGTAAATATATGATAAGAAAATATATGCTATATGATGAAGCACCACTTGATGGATAATAGTTTTATTTCTTGAAGATCAAGTAAGTAAAGTGTGTATTGTGTGTTATTAGAAAAAATGGAGACCCCTTCTAACCTAAAAAAAGCCATATATATATATATATATATATATATATATATATATATATATATATATATATATATATATATACTACAGGTAAATGGGCCTTTTTTTGGGCCACGCGGCACTTTATCTGGCCTCAAATCGCCGCCATGCTACTACCTACTCTGCCATGTGGCGGATTACTATTGGCTTTTTTCTCTGTCTATCTGCCAGTACAAGTCTGCCACTCGTCCGTTTCCCCTCAGAGTTGTCCCCTTACTTTCTGTCTCCTAGGACCGAGGAAGGTACAATGATTTACCGAGATATTGAACCATCCCGCCCTAGCGAATGGCTTTATCTCGCACGCGGTCGCCTCTGGCCCATCATATAAATAATTGTAATTGGATTCATTCTCAGACCTTAAGCTTCCGGGCCTCCCTTCTTGGGACATGGGCCTTAATCGCGTTAATCCTACTCCCATTTATATCTAGGGGCTAAACAGTCCAGATCACCCGCCTACATATATATAACAACAGGGTCTAAATGAATATCCAATTATTTTTAAATTATTAGAAGGACCATGATTTAGCTACATGTAATTTATTAATATATCAATAGTATGTTGCGTGCTAGGATTCATTAACTTCATGGGGGAGCTTCATAATCTGCATTATAGAAAATTAATATCAAAACTATAAAAAGAGATTTATTGTAGTAAGCTTTACTCCCTTTTTAAAGGGATTTTTTTTTAATAGTCACTAAATATTTGTAATCAATGATTTGAAGAAAAGATTTCAAACCCATGCTAATAAATATGTATCTTTTTGTAGCGAATGATTTGAAGGGGGATTTAAAATATATACCAATAAATTCATCAAATTAAAACTATTTGATGAATCTATTTTATGTTGGATTTCAAATTATTAACTCTATTTTGACTTATTTTATGTTATTGTGGTAGATTTTCTAATGCAACCAAAAACTTTTTAAAACTTCTTTCTGCATTATAGTTGTTTTCCAACTTATTGAAAAAAAAATTAAAAATTAAAATTATAGAAATATTATTGTAGCGACACAAAAGTGTTTTCAATACGAACAGTAACGTTAAAAAATTGAGACTTACTTCCACATTTTGTACCAACTGGAAGTGGATTATCACAATGTCTTGCAAGAAGAACCAGTTTATAAGAATATATCATTGCCGCTCACAAAATATTTAGAAAAGAGTTGTATGTCTGTCTTTTTTGGCATAAATATAGGATAAAAAAAATCATTGTAGATATGTAAAATGAAAAATTTACGATGAAATGGGTAATGCCCACAAAATGTGACACCTTTCCGGGGGATTTAGGAGGTTGGCCAAGGCCATGTCGGTCTTTATTGTTGTAAACGTAATGCGATAGATTTTGATAAATTTGAAGGATATATTAAAAGAAGTTTTCTCGAAATAAAATTGGATTTGTAAGATAAGAGGCTGGTTATTTTATAATATGTAAAAATTAGATCAAGTAATATACATTGACGAGCATGTAATCCTTTTTACTTTTTGTTATGTTTTTTAGGCAAATATAACCTTAGCTTTCAAGTAATAAGGTTTTCATGATAATTAAAGTATGCGAAAAATAGTATTCCCACTGATTTCACTACATACAATCATTTGTATTGAATGATTTGAATGGAGTATTTCAAATCGATAATTATAAATCTATCAAATATTCGAATCCAATGATTTGAAGAAAGGATTTTAATTTTAAAATCCATAATAATAAATCCATCAATTTAATTTGATGAATTTATTTTATGATGGATTTCAAATCATTAACTCTATTTTGATTTATTTGTTATCTTGGTAGATTTTAATGCATTTTAAAATATGCTAAAATTGATTGAATTTTTTTTTCACACTATAATATTTTTGAGACTTATTTAACTAAAATTTAACATTTACATAGTATAAAATTTATTGTAGTTATGTGAATGCTTTCAACATGAACATAAAAGTTAAGAAATTGAGACTTGCTTCCGCATTTTGTACCAACATGAAGTGGACTATCGCAGTATCTTGCAAGATCTAGAATATGAGAGGTCTTGTGCTCCTATTATATGATTTAGAAATTATCGTGTACAAGAAACCTAGAGAAAAATGTATGGGATATACTTAATAATAATTCTATCCTTATCAAACTATTATTCTCGTATTAAATATGAAGCAATTTGCTAAGCACCTCTAGGCACTAATTATCTTTCAAATCAGGACAGACGGATTTTGGCAATTTGCTAAAAATCATTTGTTCTTCATCTCGCCTTCATCCCGTCAAATCCATTTAATACCGCTTCACTTCGTCAGGTCCGTCCAACCCCGCTTCACTCCATCAAATCCGTTTGATCCCTGCTATCCACTGTTGCCATCGCCGAAGCTCTACACAGGCACACACACATAATCACACTTCTACATACACACATATGCAACCCTGACACGCAGGTTACTCACTTCCCCTTCATTGTAACTTAATAATTACGGAATCCAAAAAGGAAAAATATAAAGATTTTTTTTGGTGATGGTTGATGGTAATGTTGATGGTGATGTACGCAGCAGAGATTTAAGTTTTTTTCCTTTAGTTTATTTTAACAATACTGCGTAACTAAGTTGAGAAAATAAGTTTTCTAAGTTGTCTAACTTCATAGTAAAATTATATGAAATACGTGTTCTTTTCTAAAGTTGTATTCATTAATGTAACTAAGGTCTGTAAATAAGTTTTATAAGATGTTTGTGTAGTTGTGGTTGCGTTGTGAGATGTACCCATTCTTGTTTTAATTTGTTGTTCATTTTATTTTAACTAAATTGTTGCTTATTCATATAACTAAGTTGTTGTTTATTAATATAACTAAGTTGTGCAAATCAGCGCGTCGCCGTTACTGTTAGTTTTCCTAAGCAATTTTTTTAAAGAGAATACTGACCTAGCGTTAGATCCACCGCACAAGGACTTTTAGGGAAGTGACAAAATCCGTCTGTCCTTATAGCTATAGAGAATAATTTTGAGAGGCTTCTAGCCAATTTTTTCATACAATATTACCGAATTAAAGACAACCAAGAAAACCAATATAATAAGAGTCCATTACCTTTACAGCGTGTATTTTTTACAAGGAAGAGACCTGTCTCTCCAAGTTATACGAATATCAAGGAAAATGATCGAATACTTATTCCCTTCAACTTCAACTTCTTTGGCTTCATATGATTAGAATCCATCAAAATTCTAACAACTAGCATAAATGGATTGTTTGCGAAAAAATAAAAAAGGTGTGTTAATCTTTAATTTCTTCTTCTTGCATGACATGTATATATTTATAATCAGTAGATAAAAAATTTTATTGATTAGAAGTTTGAAATTTTCGAGTTTATGAAGATTTTTGCAAGAAAAACGGAGTTTTGAACTTTTAGTTCTTTGCATGTGTAAATTTACATATTTTGGGGACTAATTTGTAAATTTTTTGAATATCACCTCTTATTAAGTTTTTAAATTTATTTTACAGTAATTATTAAGAAAGAAATAATTTTCATTTAGGATAAGCCATGGTTTAAATAGATCTATGAAAGAAAATTATTTTTTGGTAAAGAAATGAATTTTCTAGCTTTTAAAACTATTATAAATT